CCATTGGGCAAAATCGTCTTTCACAGCCAAACCCTCGGCCACTTGAAAGCCAAATCCGAAAATTGAGCTGCAAACAATTGTGCTTCATCATCATGCTTCGAAACGCTGGTTGCATCGTCTTACGTGCTTCCATGTTTCTGTAGTGTTGCTGTATACCACTCACATTTTCTTTGTTGCCATGTCATAGGTTTGCAAAATAAAACACCAAAAACATCTAGGTCCTCCAGTAGAGAGGTTGGAATAAGGTTACCAACATTTTTCTGTACTCTATCTTAGTAGGGGAACCCTGCCAACCAAAAAAGAAACGGGTGAGAGGTCCGGCACCTAGCTGGGGGACCTGGACATAGAGCGGGGAGGCCACCGATCGGCGCGGAAAACGACACCTGGCGCTGGCCACGCTCCACCTCGGAGGCTATTCTCTTGAGGTCCTGATCGGAGGGGCGAAGGGGATGTCCGTGAAGCAGAGAAACCCTTGCGGGGTCCCGGCTTTTTCGAGAGTGCTTGGGATTTTGGACACGGGACAAAAGCAGTTCTTGGCTGGGGGTGGTGCTTTTGGGACAGTACTTGAACATGCAAAAAAACAGTGGTTGCGGGGGGGGGTAGTTTGGGTTGGTTTTGAAGGTCAGGGGTAAAGTGGGTTGGCAACGACCTCTGGAAGACACCATGCCTGGGTACTGAACACTTTTCGGATGTCTGGGTCCATTTTAGTGGCATCCCCAAACTTACTTGCTAAAGTTGTGGTTCAACGGGAAATCACCGACAAGCAATTTGCGTTAGAACCCGAAAAGTTATGTACATTCCACTGGGGTTCCTTCAAGGATGCGCATCCAAACAAAACCTGCTTGGGTGGTAGGGGGCCCTGCCTTAGCACCCTTGACGAACACCCCAAGAATGAAAGGCCCTGAGGGGCTCTGCCTGGACTGGAACTGGCAACAGGATTTGCTTGGGAGAGACCATCAAACGGCGGATGTTTGACCTTTAAAACCAACCGAAAGGGCACATGGATTGAAAGTTGCCGTGAAAACGTACCGGTCAAGACTGGGCTGCCCTCAGATCCCCAGCTAAAAGTTTGCCCTTTAAAACCCAGCCAAGGTACAAGCCGCAAAACTCAGCTTCCCTCCACTTGGTGGCTTGGCTTGGTGGTTTTGGTGGTCGACTGTTGAAAAGAATGGGGAATCAACCCCTGGAATAAGGGTTATCTGATAGTTGGGTAGAACATTCGAGTAAAAGCCATGCCTACAACTGGAATGACAGGGCGTGGATCCTCTATGGTTGTAACATCAGCGGGTTGAACATCAAAACCACCAACTAGTCAGCCTGCCTCCTAATTGGTGGTTTGGTGGGCAGTTTCCCATTTACCAACAGGAACCAGGGTCATCCCCCAAACCAATCTAAACCACCGAGGGGGTAAAATTCATACCCAGGGGGCTCTCAAAATTGGGGGCCCCTCAAGTAGGTGGCGTTCTGTTCATTTCCTGCCAAAACCGTCCAAAAAGGGCTTCCCTCCACTTGCTGGTTTGGTTTGGTGATTTTGGTGGTGCCCGAGTTACCCGTTTCCCATTTACCAACAAGAACCAGGGGTCATCCCCCAAACCAATCCAAACCCTGAAGGGGGGCATTGAAAACCTCCTTCCCGAAACCTCTCCAAACACCAAGATGAGGGGGTCATCACCAAACCAATCCAAACCAGGGAGGGGGAACCAAGTAAGGCTTACCTGAACAACCCAACTCACCCATATAAAGGGTTTTCTGATAGTTGAACTCGGTTGCTTTCTGCTCCCCTGCTAAAAGTGAATAACTTTTAGCGGTTTAGTACGGAAAATCCACATGAGTTGAAGCAAAACAAAAATCTCAAGTCCTAAACCAGCCCTTGGCAAAAGACGCGCCAAAGGTATCCAAACCACCACGGGGGTGCCCTGAAATCTCTCCCCCGAAATCTCGGGCGTCCTCGGGCACGATCTGCCCGGAGGCATCCAGCAGCTGGACCAAATCCGCGGCAATCCCCGGCTCCTGAGGCGCAGAAACAAGAAACCCGGGGGGGGGGGGGGGGGGATAAAAAACAGCATGTATAGTTATGCATATGTAGATATATGTGTATGTGTGCGCCTGTCTACCTAGCTATATGTATATATATATATACACATGTATATATACATTTATATATATATATACATATGTGTGAGTGGCTGAAGAACTGCAAGCATGGTTGCGTGTGGCTGTGTGTTTGCTTGTTTGTCTGTGAGTTTCCCGTTTGGTTGAGGAGCGGAGTCCTGTCCAGGTTGGTGTGGAATGGAAACCCGAAGGAAGACCAAAGACCATTTTGGGGTGCCCTCGCACAATTCTCTTTGTGACTGAATTTTCACAACGGCATCCCAACTGTTTAGGCCTTTGGTTTGAGTGAGGAACGTTGCCGAACTACACCATTCCCTCCTTTGCTCCAGAAATCTGCAAATAGGGACTCGAGAAGAAAAAGCCGGCCTTTGGGCATCTGCAGCATGTCTCTCAAGCTGCAATTCACCAGAAATAGCAAAGCTCCGTATCTAAATGCCAAGTTGATATAACCATGGCGGCGCAGCAACGAGAAGGCTTGCAGCCTACGTGGCAGTAGCATGCGAAATGTATCTTTGCTCAGTTCAAACAAAATGGCATAGACGCGGCAGCAGGAATTGGGGGGAGCCCGCAGCAAAGAAGGGTACGACAGTAGCAATGAAAAGGAACTGGCAAAAACGAAGCACCACCATCCCTCCTGCCACCTTTGTTCGTCAGGCTATCCAAAATCGCAACATGAAGTTCGCCGGGCTTAGACCCCCTGTGAAAAGTCAAGTTGTTTCTGGTTGCAAAGAAATCACCCAACAAATGCCACCATATATTTTATCCCGAAGAGGCGGGTCCCAGCAAGGGCTCCTAAGGGAAACTGCTACTCTCAGACTTCCGCGAAGCCTCCCCCCCATTGCGATGGCCTGTCCCAAACTGGAATCCATGCACAAAGCGTGGGCAAGACTTGATCAATGAGAGAAAACCCAATTGAAAAACAAGGTTGAGCTACCCGAACATTGCGAGTGCTCGAAGTAGAAGTGTCAGTGCAAGCCAATATAAAACGAAGACAGGACCTGCCGACCGCCTGTTGCCAACAAGCAGCAGGCACAGGCCACAAAATGCCGGTTGCGACTTGCACTTCTCGATTGCACTCTGAAACAGTTCAGGGCATTGGAGGTGGGCAAATGGACCAAACAGACTAAAGCCGCAGGCTTTCTCGTTTTCTCAGTGATCTAGCCATCAGTCCAGCTGGCACGCCTTGTGCCAGTACTCGAAGAAAACCAGGGCGTGTCCTCGCCCGCACGCTCTCAGTGGAACTGTTGGGTGCGTCTAAAAGTAGCACATGGACCCCTCTCAGAAAAATGCTTGTGCGATTTCAAGCCACACCATCTACACCTGAAATAGGATACTCGCGCAAATGGGCGCAATTCGCGAAAGCTTCTCATGAAACTCATTTGATTTGCTCCGATTGGGCCTCCAGAGCTTGCAAGTACAATGCACCCGCTCACCCCTCATTCGTTTCCCCTATCGTTCTTTTGGGGAACGCCAAGAAGTCCCGGCGCTTTTGGCAATTTTCCAGAGAGCAGGATCCCTAGAAAGATGGGGAAAGTGCAACCAGAACCATGGGTTCATTTTGTTGCACGCTTGTACGCCTCCTGCTAGCATAGCGCTTGCGGGCGCGCATCTGAACGTCAGTCTTGCTTTGAAAGGACAATTTGCCTGTCAGGTGCCATGGATTTCAGCATAGGAGGGGGTGCAGTCACCTGCTGATTCACAATCATGGCGAAGGAAGCCATTGCAGCCTCACTATAGGGCCGTAGCCTTCCAATGCTTCCAATGTCTCTGAAAGTATGAATGAACGGAGTGCCAGTTGACTAATCTGGGCAAAGCCTGTATTTTCCCAACAACTAGAAAGGGAAGGTCCTGGTAAAGAACAGACCCATGGCGACTCTCAGACCCATGGGGCCCACGGGGCCCACGGGGCCTTTGCCGTCTAATCCGCGGGCCGTGCGGCCAATGCGATGCACGTAGTCGTCAATGGTTCCTCGGACTCGAGGCGGCTCAGCGTTACTCAGCGACTAAGGGACATCACCGGGCATAAGAACTAAGTCCTGCAGTAGAGAGGGCAGAATAAGTTGGTACCCGCTTTTTTCCGGTTTTGTCTATTTTAGTAGGGGAAACCTCCCAACCAAAAAAGGGGTGAGAAAGGGCACCACTGGGGGACCTAGAGAAGTAATGATTTCTTTGGAGCGTGGCAGTGAAGCTACACCATTTGGAGGGGAATGCCCAATTTTCAAGGGTTGCTTGAGGGTCCAGGGAGAAGGCAAGCGGCAATTTACCGAACAAGGTGAGGCGAGAAATGGCCTCGACTCAAGGTGTGGCACTCAGGGCCAGGTCTAACGCGCCTGCATCAAACAGACCCCCTACATGAGAACCCTTCATTTGCAAATGATACAGTAATTCCTATATGCATCTATATGCATACAACTACGCATGCACACATACGTATCACGTGCAAGACTTGAAATTGGGCTTCCCAAGGCGTGAACCCCTGATAGTGGATACACATCGCCCGTGCTATGCTCCCAGCCAGGCCTACCGGCTTCAGGCCATTCAGGTGTGCAACGCTGGGGGGGGGGGTGCTCCGTTGACTGTGCATGCCATTTCATGGTTTCAGCGGTGCCTTGGCGAGTGTTCAGTTGCTTTCCGCAATAGGTTTGTGGGCGCCTAACGCAGTTGGGCCCTCGTGTGGAATAGTCGCGGTTTCCTTGTGCTCCCTTGAAACGTCTCCCGCCGCTCCAGATTTGAGAGGTTAAAATAAGGCTACCAACCTTGTTTTTTCTGTAGCATATCTTCGTAGGGGAACCCTCCCAACCAAAAAAGAAACGGGTGAGAGGTCGGGCACCTGGCTGGACCAGGTTTAGGTTTGGCCCAGCACGCGGCCCTTAGGCAGACGACCCATGTCAAAGACGACCACGTGGGAGACACTGGGGATGTCGATGCCTGGCTGGGGAGGAAGATGACACCACCAGGTAGTTCTGCAGATCATTCAACACGCAGCTGACCCTATGGTGCCCCAGGGTCACAAAAGGATATCCTCTTTTGGTCTATGGCCAAAACATCAAGCGCAGCCAGGGAAGTTTACTTTTATGTGTCAATGAATGAAGATGAACTGAACTTCATTTATTGACACCTGTCTCAAGTCTTGGGAACACCCTTTGGCCAACAAAGAGACCAAAACTTGGAAGCAAACAGGCCAACAACCGGGCTACAAGTTTGGCGCGGGCTAGGGTGGAATGAGCACACTCCTGGGAAAATTGGGAAGCTGACTGAGCGAATTCCCTCAAGGAGGGCTACCGAGGTCCGGGTTATATTTTGGCATCGGGTTGTTCCCCGGAGAGCTGAAAGCTATAGGGCTCTAACTTCTAAACTGAGAGGCCATCGCCGCCTTTCCGCGCCGAACAGAACTTCGGAGGTCCGTCCCCACGAAAATCAGAAGGAGAGGGTGCCCCACAGAAAGCTGCCCGACCTCCTCTCCCAGCAAAAAGAAAACACTGGGTCCCTGAGGAGAAGCTATGAACGGCAGAAAGCCGCCAAAGGCCCCCCCCCCCCCCCAAAAAAAAAAAACACGACGCACAAAAGTAACTAAGTAGCACAACAGCAAACATCGTACATGAACCAAAAGCCATACACTAGTGATGGATAAGGGGCTTCGTATAGATCCAGTTGTCCAAATGACGGTAGAAAAAAACTTGACACATTGGAGGGGGGTTGGCCTGATCTGGTGGACCAACCCACCAAAAAGAGATTGATTCTCAGTCAGCTCCGAGGGTTACTCATTTTGCGAGTGGAAATGAACATTTTGGCCGGGACACCAAAGGACACGGTTTGCCCAATGCTCGAGTAGTTGTCGCGCCTTTGCAGCTACCATGGGACTGCACAGACGTGGTTTGATCCTTGACGGCTGGAGCAGCCCTGAGGTACCCCAAGGGCCAAAATAATCTAAACAAAACTGAATGATCATTGGCGAACGGTGTCTTACATGTTGGTACCATTTTGGGAGTTGGCTAGGGCCAAAGCAAAAACCGAGGCCATTCTGGGTGGCTCCAAACCCATGTAAGCTTACAGCAAGGATTGCGAGCCAGCCGGCCCACTCCATGCCACTCGGCTCCGCCTCGTCCTATGACATCTGTGGCCACCAGCAGCCTACCGTGACAAAGAGTTCCAGCGATTTGGGCTGCCAAAAGTTCCGATTTTTGAGACAGCACCGGACCTCTGTGTAAACAGCCGCTTTTTGTGGGCACCCTAAGAAAAACCCTGTGGGTTAAACCGACATGTGGATTAAACCCGACAAAACGCCTTTTGGCAAGTACCGTAAGGAAAATGATGGACACCTAAAAATGCCTGAAGAGGTCAGAAGGGTAAGCCAGGTCTGGCGATTCGGGGAAAACCGCTTAAGAGAGGTCTGCCTCGGACGAGGCCAACGCTCTCTGAAGCCAAGGGGTCTACTAAATCGGGGTCGATTTGGAGGGATGTTGAATCCCCATTTGCCCAATCCACTGGGCAAAGAAAACCGCTATTCTCTGGCTTCAAGTCTAAACCCGTTCATGTTTTTCGGCTTAAGACCAGCATCCAAGGTGAGATGGGGATTTGGGATGGGTTTCAAGCCATCCGCCTGGGGCCAGGGAGGCGCTTGCCAACCAGAGCTGTTAAGATCTGGTTCTCCAAAAGCCAATGACAAATCCCTCCCAACAAAAACCACCAAACCATGCTAACACGGACCAACAAACCCCCACAAGCCCCAGACGCGCCAAAAGCGCCAAACAACCTGAAGACAATGCGAGAAGTACCAACAACGCTCCAAACAGTCCCAACAGGCACCAAAATGGACAACAGCCGCACACACGCGAAGAACAATTCCCAAAAACACGCCCAAAACCGGGCAAACAAATGCAAGAAGCGGGCATCAACAGCCAACAACATCACCAAACAACGTCAACCAATCCCAGAAGGCACGCAACACAGCAAACAGCCGCGAGAAGCACCAATAAGAAAACAGCCCCAAAAGGCATCCAACCACTTCCAAGCAATATTCAAAGGTACCACATACTGAACGCATTCAGTCCTAAAAAACATCAAGGATCCAATTTCTGGCCTGAACTCCCCCTTGCGGAACTGGTCCAAAGTCCACAAGCGCGACTCCTGAGTCTCACAGATGTGGCTCTGACTCTTACACGTACAGCAGCGAAGAGTAATTTGTCTTCTCCATGGCGTCCAACCACCCAAGGCATGGATGGGGCATACAAGCACTATAAGAGCGCTATATAAAGACTAGATTCTCCGCGGTACCTTCGGGGTAGTGATTTGGGCTTATGGAAATCGTGGAATGCACTCCGCAAGGGTCCGACCCCCCAAACAAAACACACACACACACACAAAAGAAGAAGAAGTCATGAGTGAGAAATCGGCAACTTGCCAAGGAGGGTTGCTGGAACCACGCCCGGCATGAAAAGGACAGGCTGGGCCACAAGAGACACCTTGGACATGTTGATCTTCCTTGAGTTCAAAGATTCCGGGTTCCCAACATACATCACGCCAAAAGAAATTCACTTAGTTTCCAACAGACAGTTTACAACCACCCAAAGTGAAAGTATATGCATCCTTATCACTTGCCAAAAATTGGACCTGGAGTTCGAGGGTAGCCTTTTGCCCAGAGAACATCGAAAGGTTGAAGGGTTGGTGTTGAAATAAAGGCGGGGACAAACGTGGGCTCAGGAAACCCGGTAAGGCCTTTTATGTCGTCACTGTTTACAAGAATTCCAAATGTCCCAAGTCTGAAACAGGCCTCGCCCTTAAGGTTCTTCATCATGGCGCGTTTTGCCTCCAAGTGAGCTCGCCATCTTCTAGGCAGATTATTGTCGGAAATGCTTTGGGGGTTGGTGCGCACCCCTTGTCACTTGCTCGCTTTCCAACAATCATGGAAGTGGGCGCGTCCTAAAATAGGGGAGTGCTTTCCCTGTGGGGTTCCTTTCACATGAGCCCAAAAAGGGTCGCTTCAAAAAAAACACGCACCCAAGTGCACTTGCCAGAAAGGGAAACTGATCCATCCACTTTCACCGGGGCCAAAAATGGACCTCCAAAACTGGCCCAGCGCACCATCCAGGTGGTTTGGGGAGACGTCTCCAGCGATCCCACACGGCTTGTGCCATCTTGTGCCCAACTGAGCCGTGACAAGAATAGGGGCTGCGGAGGAGTGCATGGTTCCTATAACTTAAAACGACAAACAAAAGGAAAACACAACACAAGATATGCTTGGGTGCGAGCAGACATGGATTTCTGGATCAAATGAACAGATAGATATCTTGCACTCTTAGTGAAGCAAAGGTAAACATGGCGGTCCTAGTTTAGGGGGTGATATCGTGCATGCCAAAATATTGCAAATACAGCAGCCACACCGAACCACAAAACGATTGGATTGAACATTGCAGCAATTCTGGGGCAAACCGCCAAAACAAGAAAAACTGGGTGCAATGTGTCAGGGGCAGTGTTCGACCCCCTCTCTCGGCGCTCCTGATTCTTGCCCCCATGCATGGCCGCCGCTTTGAAGCCGCCCTGCGGGGCTGCGAAAATTCGCCTCTCTGGAATCCACTTGAGGTGACCCAAGGCAAATCTCTTGAGACATAATCAAAACCGATCGCTACGAACATGGTGACCCAGAATCATAGTAAAGAAATTGGAAGGGAAAGGGCTTGTCCCGTACCCTCCAACTACCCGAATGTGAAAATGGACACCGTCAACAAGGGTCTCAGTGACGTGCGCTTCCCTTTAAGGCAAGGAACGTGACAAGCACCAGGACAAGTTGACAAGAACTTCCGCACAGCAGCACCTCCCACAGCTTGTTGGCCAACTCGTCTGCATACTGCTTCTGACTCACGAAAACCAGGACTTTGTTCTCCTGGCGCATCATTCGCAAGCAGGTTGGGCGATTCAAGCCCTGAGTAAACTAAACATGCTCAACACTTGTTGAAGCAAGCCCCTTTTGCCTTCCCGTTGAAGGGGAGACAGGGATCTCATTGTTTTAACAAATAAATGCCATTCGCCTGCGGTTTTTTTGCCATTCCCCGGAAGCTCGGGAGGCTGCCCCCTCTCCTTTTCGCAAGACTGGACGATACCCAAGGCTCAAACTGCAAGCATCAGAGTTGCTTCCCCTGTACACATCACCCGAAACTCACCATATGGAAACGTCAACCAAAAGGTGGTGAGAAACCAGCAAATTGGGACAGTTCATTAGGCAAACTCCAAGTCTGAGTGTGGAAGAAACAATCACCTGTTGGATGGGTTCCAAGGGAAACTGACGGAAGACCCACCAAATCAGAGTACAAATCGGGCTTGTGAGTGAACGTGACGCCAAAAAGGCAAAGAGGCAACATCTTGGTGGGGTATTTTGACGAAGCGCGCACGGTTCAAAGGCTGGGTTCGTCAAACTTCAACCCATGTTGGATTCACATGCCGTGGATATGTGTCAACCCTAAACTCCGAAGGCGGGCTCCTGACAGCCAGCAACAAAGAGCACATCAAGAGACACATGAGTCATAGCCTGGTGATAAAATCCAAACCTGGTACTGAAACCTGGAAAAAAACAAAAAACATGTACTCATAATCAGAACCGATGAGTAGAATGGTGCACCCAGAACCATGTAAAGAATGAAAACAAGGCGGCTGCACCCATTTCTGGTTGGGATTTTAACCTTCATCTATCTGGGTTTTGATGATGGCTCAAATATCCTTCAACAAGAGCCCCTTTTGATAAGAGAAGCTTCCCTTTTAACCTTTCAAAAATCAAAACCTGGTACTGAAACCTGGAAAAAAAAAACACACACACAAAAAAACATGTACTCATAATCAGACCCGATTGGTAAGATGGCGCACCCAGAACCACGTAAAGAGTCAAAGCACGGCGGCTGCACCCATTTCTGCTTGGAATTTTAACCTTCATCTATCTGGGTTTTGATGGTGGCTCAAATGTCCTTCAACAAGAGCCCCTTTTGATAAGAGAAGCTTCCCTTTTAACCTTTCAAAAATCAAAACCTGGTACTAAAACCTGGTAAAAACAAGTACTCATAATCAGAACCGATGAGTAGAATGGTGCACCCAGAACCATGTAAAGACAGAAAACAAGGCGGCTGCACCCATTTCTGGTTGGGAATTTTAACCTTCATCTACCTGGGTTTTGATGGTGGCTCAAATATCCTTCAACAAGAGCCCCTCTTGATAAGAGAAGCTTCCCTCTTACCAGATTCAAAATCAAAACCTGGTACTAAAAAACCTGGTACTAAAACACCTGGTAAAAAAAAGCACTCATAATCAAAACCGATCGAGAAAACATGGTGCACCCAGAAGCATGTCAAGAATCAGAACTAGGTCCTCCAGTAGAGAGGTTAGAATAAGGGTACCATTTTTTCTGTAGTCTATTGTAGTGGGGGAACCCTCCCCCAAAAAAGGGGGTCAAAGGGTAGATGTAAAGAATCAGAAGCTTCCTTCTTCACCTTTCATGGTTGGGACTTTAAGCTTCATCTCCTCTTTGATCAGAAGCTTGCTTTTTAACCTTCCCCTCAAATGCCCAGTGGACACGGCAAAAAAGGGCACCACTGGGCAACAGAGTTCCTGGGAGGGGGAGGCTGGACCTTGGCCTCTTTCCTCAGCCAAGAATTGCCGCGCCTGCGAGGCCCACAAGACGTCCTGGCGAATTGACTCGGACGGCTGAGGCCAAAACCTTCGGAAGAGTGGGGGGTTGTCCGCAAACAGTTTTTCTTTGCCAGCTTTTGTGGAAAAATGATCGACCCCCTCGTAGTGAAGGACTCCTTTTTGAGGGGGTCGCCAATTTTCGGTAGGTGGCAAAAAGACAGCCCTGGCCGCACAAACGAGGCCAACCAAAGAAAAAGTGAGCCTTTGATTTGACCGGATCGGCCGGAAAGTGCCGGAAAACACATGGAAGCTGCCCCAACATGGGCGAATGTCCACATGATCAGGGTAGCTTGAGGCGTGCGTTTCCTTGGAGACTTCAGGAAATTGCTCCTCTCCCGCTTGGGCCAACTCATCCGCATCCAGTGGGGGCACCACAAGGAAAACGAGGCCCGCAGGGCATATGGAAAAAGCACTGATTTTGAACAGCCTCGTCTTTACAACCTAAACTTATTCTACCCACCTACACCGGCGTATCACAACTGCAGACGGTTGGAAAATGAAGGTCCGCCGAATCGCTACTCCGATCACTCCCACCCAAGCACCATGCAAATTGCAAACGCTGCGGATGGCCACATTCAACTGCCATGCTTGATCCCTTCAAAATATAATGCAAGGACACACATGTCCACAACCGGTTCCATTTCATTTGAACATTGCCCCACCACATGGAAACTCGTCAAACAAACCTGGCCTTTCCAGACAATGATGCAAACCACTGAAGGCGAAGTATGGGTATGTCATGGTATGTCGGTACTGTCTGAGGACAAGCACCCTTTTGGAATCTCACTTTAACTTGGCATTTCCAACATGTTGGCACGATGTCCTGTAGAATTGCAAAATACCTTTGGGCTATCTAGCAACCACTTCAGCTGAATTACTGGCTAGAACAAGTTCGCACTTTCAGCCCCTAGACTCAAATTGCAGAAACTCTATAAAACACAAATAAGATCAATCCAAAACAGATCGGTGGGTCAAGATTCGGCAAGGAGTTTAAACTGACATGGAACCCAGGTCTCCAGGGCCTCGCCAATCCAATTTGCCACTCGAAAGGCCTAGTTCTGAACTGAGCTCTTGAAGTCGCCCGCTTTTTTGGGGACCCGGGACCCGGCGGCTGAAATTTTCGGTTCGCGCTCTGCGCGCTTTTTCGCCGCGTCTCCTGCAAGTGGCCGTCCAAAAGCTTGCGCTTCTCCGCCTGCTGTCGGCGAAGGGTAAGGGAGCCCTGAAAAACAAACCTCAAACTTTCTTGGTAGTCATTTACCCCCTGGGCCAAAAGGTGCGATTTTTCGTGGGCAAGCGGAAAATGACAATTTAAGCTAAGTCCAAACAGTGGAAGGTGAGAACTCCCACCTGAAATGGGCGCCACCCCGAGGCTTGGATGTCAATTGCTTTCTGCCGCCTTGGGGCTGCAGCCATGTCCCCAAAAAAACAAAAAAGACACCAAAGGGCTCTAGCCATTCCCTCGCTCTCGAAGTCCCCAAAAGTCCTGCTGTGTGCTGCGACTGGTTCATAGCCCAGGCGCAAAATATACGCAGGTCTACGCTTCCACTAACTAACATCAGGCCCCTATAGTGAGACTAAATTCCTCTTGGACAGGGGCTTGGTGCACTTCCATGTTAGTTAGTGGGGGGTAATCAATGGAAGCTGACAGATTTAGGCGAAAGCGCCCACCTTACGCCCAAAAGCCAGTCTCACATTTTGCCAAGCCAGAAATGAAATGCATGTGTAGAGGCATGGCTTCCGGCCCAGAAGAGTCATGCCCCCCAGACACTAAACAAGACAAAACACGTCAATAAGTTGACATGGCCCTGCTTCTTTTTTCAGCCTATGGCAGGCTAAATTCCCGATGAGCCCATCCGGCTCTCGCTATTTTGCCGCCACACAGGTGTGTCAGTTCTCATCCGCAGAAAAGGACACAGCAAACACCAGCGGGAAGGTCGGCTTTGTTTGGAATGGGGGCCACCAATCTGACTGCTTGCGCCCCACGGTTGCACACCATACCCACCCGAAACGGCAGGATAACAATGACAAGGGTGCCGGGGTGCTAGGGTTCCCCAGTCGTGACCAAAGACTCCATAGCTCCACGTCAGAAGTGCCATAGCCGTTGGGGCCAATCAAAATAGCTCCGTAATCACAGAGATAGCCCCATGCCTGGGCCAATGCGCCCATGCAAAATAGCATGAAGCCCAAAAACGCGATCTTTTGAAAGCCTTTGGGGTACTCCCCGTTTGGGTCCTTCTCCAGTTGCGGGCACCATGCGAATCTGCAGGGAGCGTTGGTCGGAAATCCCCGGTCTCCTGCCCCGGCCTGCTGCTTTTCGTAGTCCTCCGGGAAGTCAACCACCTGGCAGGCGACATGCGTTCCCCGCAAGGAAGCTCTAGGTGTCAAAACCCGGGAGGCGCCCAAAAATCTGGCGCTTTCCAACAGGTGCCCTTAGGGCACCCAAGAAACTCGGCGAAAGGGGTTCCAAGGGATCAAGGGATCTCGGCCCCTCGCCGATCAAAAGGCTTGAGTGAGATTTGGGGGCGAGTTCGCGGGAAGCCTTGTGAGATTGGCTTCAGAGGGAAATCATGAGGAAAGCCACCGTTGTCCGGCCCCTGCAAAAGTCACACTTTGCAGTTGATCCCGTATATGATGATTTCCTTTGAACGTCAGCCTGCAAAAACAACAAGAAGACACAACAACTCAATTTCCTGATAACCGACCACTGGGCGGAAATGTCAGGACCCCAGAGCGCGCAAACGCTGGACCGCAGATCCAGAATTGGATGGCCAACCGTACCCTGTGAGCGCACATTATGGTCGTCAGGGTTGAGCGAAGTTGTTCACACATCTCGTTCACACATCTTGGGTCACCTTTTTGAAAGGGCTAGGACCTTGTCTAGGTCCAGTAGAGAGGTTAGAATAAGTTGGTACCCTTTTTCCGGTATAGTCTATTTTAGTCGGGGAACCCTCCGCCCAAAAAAGGGGGTGAGAAGGGCACTAGGGGACCTAGTTGAAATATGTTGCCCAAGCCGGGCCGCTGTTGGGGAACCCGAAAGGCAGGCGTCAAAGAGTGGAGAGGGGGCCCAATCAAAGCTATAGGCCAGATAGACCCCCTGCAACGAGTGAGGACGTTTTGGCGACTAAACAAGGGAAACTGAAGACAGCCAAAAGGGCAAACGGCAAACACTTCAAAATGGTGTGTGACAAGGATCAGGCATAGGCAGGCTTGGGCCAGCTCCCTGTTTAAACTATAGTCTGAGCTGCTCAAATGGAGGGTTGGTCAATCCCAATCCATAATCCCTACAAAAAAGCCACTACAAAAGGGACGCCTCGCGTAACCCACGGTAAGGATTGAGGAATATCTTTGAACAGCCCAGGTGGTTTAAACACCTATTGTCTACACAGCCTCTTTTTGGCTTCCCTTTAAGGTCCAGGGGTTGACTGTTCAAACACATTTTGCCGGCCCTGCTGAGAGGGTCTATGGAGAGGCCCCCATTTGGGGAGGCGGCTTCCATTTTGGGCTGACCAAAAAAGAAAAGTTTCAAATGTGGTCATGGAATGAAGTCGAGCAAGAAGTCCCTGACAACAATAACATTCTCTGTCCCCCCCTTAGAGGAAGCAACGCGACGCCATGCATCTAGTAACCCTAACGATGGACAATGGAACATGCCTCACTTTTCGATTGGTCGATTCCCGTGTTTACTTGTTTTTCCACACCAAAACGATTGAGGGGGAGCCACGTGGTGCGACTCAGGTTGACAAACAGGGAGTTCTGGAAGGAAAGCAACTACCCATCCCCTCTTAAGGTTCCTCTTGGTAAAATGTTTGCGATTTTGCCCCAGCACTGAACAGCCGAACTCCGTTCCCATGAGACCTACTATCATGACATTCAGACTACACGGGAAGCCTTCACACACGAAGGGACATATAGGCCCAGAAGTCTATGGGTCAACCTTTTTGGGGAGGACAACTCGCAGCAAGAATGTCCAGGATAGCTACAGCTGGCGTTTTCGGCCTTGGGGCCTTTCCCCCTTCGACCCCTTGAAGCTGACGAATGAAATCCCGCACCAATTGATTGATTGATGATAGGCCCAATGAGCTCGGTTCCTTTGTCATGAGTTTTTCACCTGCACCAGGAAAATCACAGTAAGAAGATCCCTTAGCCGCCTGCTTTAAGGATCTCGCCATTCGCATTTGCGATGCGTTGGCTCGTGGTAAAATGGCCATCCACTTCCGGTGTTGCGATCCGGCCCTAAATCCGGGCAAGCAAACATGTGCAAGTCCACCGTTGCGTCGCGGAAATGCCTTCTGCTCACAAACCGGAGTCAACCCCCAAACACACGAACGACTCTAAACAGGCGAAGCTGACGACAACCTGGCGTAGGCAGTGCGACAGGCAAGGTGACAACTTCGGAAACGTGGGCCTTCAATCGTCCCTCAAATGGGAATGAAGCAATTTGGGGTTCCAATTTTTAAGGTTCGTGTGAGGGCCCGGGATGCTCCAAAGGCCATCTGGCTTAACTATTTATGGCTTGGCCACTTTGAGGATTATGAAAACATACACCAAAGCGTCTGGGTATTTCCCATGTTCAAGAGTAGTTTCAGGGTCCAGGTAAGCCATTTACAAATCAGGCCGTGCACATCACCTCGTGACCTGAGGGAGAAGTCAGGGTCATCCCAAACAGAAAATCATGTGTCAGGTGGGACCTTGGCTCAGCGCCTTTCACCGCTAAGCTGGTTCCATCGTGGTTGATGAACAAAGTGTTTATCTTGCTGGTGCGGTAGGTAGGGAATGTGGGAATGAACCATTTTGGAATTCCCTTAGACAGGAAATCACCAGTTGGAAGGTTTATAAGGGTCATTCCCTCATTCCCTGCTGAGCACCAACAAGTTATACATCCTCACTGTCGTCCCTGATTGCAAAGCCCCTGGCCGCCATGCATGGCAAGTATTGAAACATCTGGGGGTCCGACAATTGTCAGGCCTTGTTTTGCTTCCAAACCAGCCCTTCTGACACATTCCCAAATTTGTCATGTACAGAAGGGTTCCTTTGTGGGCCAGAACTCCTTTTGTGGGCCAGGGTTCCGTTCCCTTCATGAGAATCGGTATGGTCCAAAATCTCCCAGAGTCCTCCATCCTTACCAACTCCAAGTAATTAAGCGGATCTTTCGACAAAGGTCTCAACAAAGAGGACATCTTCTTGGATGCATTTCGGAAAATTAAGCAACAGGGCCTCAAAAGGGACATCTCCTTTCGAGATGGCTTTGAGGCCGAGAAAAGCCGCTTGCTCGCTCTCCATGCAGCCTTCTTGCCAGAAAACGGGAACAGCTGGTGTGTGAACATACCAGTGGCTGATAAAGAATCAAGAGTGCACGCAGGGTCCTGAGAGCCGGCTCGGAAAATTTGACTCCGGCAAGATGAAACTAATAAACACCAAACGGATCTTCCAACCGGGGCTGGTCATCTGTGAGCTCAAAGCCCGGAAAAAAAAGGGGTTCGATAGCGATTCTAAGGAACAAAAAGGCTTCTTGAGGAAGAAAGGGTGCTGTTGGGCTGGGGCTACAGGCTCAGAGATTAAGCCCCTCGAGCCCAATCCAACCTGCTGCACAATTCCCTCGCGCGCGTGCCGCGCAGCGTTGATGCTGCCCTGAGAAGCCAGGTCGGAAAAGCTTTGACTTATTGCTCTTTTGACGCCCGAAATGGTCTTCCCGAAGAAAAACAAACAAAACTATATTCTGTTTTGCGTCCGAAGATGGACTGAAACCCAGCGGCGGTCTCGCTTCGTGGGAGAGTTAACCACCCCTGGGCTCGGGTCTGCTGATTTTTCCCCGCTCCCCAAAACAGGCATCTGTCGGGGGGCCTTTCTTGTGGAGTGGTTTGAAGAGGGCTGCAACGCGGGATCCCTAAAGCCTAGGGAAACACCAGGTTCTGCTGATTGACACCCGTTTTGTGATTCCCCGTCCCCTTTTTCCCCGCACGCTTTAAGCGTCTGGATTGGCAGAAAGAAAACAACAGGTATCTGCACATTGTACAATCATCTCCCAAAATCTCAAGTGACTCACCTCCAACACGGTATTGCAAGCCTGTTCCAGATGAACATGAAATACAATAAGCCCCTTTGTATTTTATAGGCATCTCGTTTCAGACGGTGTCCCATCTCCGTGCTCCATGTGAATTTGCAGGAGAGTAAATCAGCACAAGAGCCAGGGTCCCAACCAGTCATGTCCTACTCGGGACCCAGAAGCGTGCAGTCCAGAAGTGTCGAGGACAAGGCCTCGTTCAAACCCGGCTCTTAAGGCGGGTGGGATGTGTTTTGATTTTGAGGGACCCTTTCTTGGGTGGGTCTCGGGGAAACCAAAAAAATAACCACCAATTTGGGGGGGGGGGGGGGTCCCTATAAAAGACAAATCTGTTTGTTTTCAAGCCCTCTTAGAACCAGTCGGGCGGTTCTTGATTGGAGGGCCCGGGGCCCTGGAGGGTCTGAAGCTAAGCAAGCGGGTCACATGGCAAAAAGGGCCCGATCTGCCCAAAACGCTTGCGCGTCCAAAACGGCATTCGGACTCTGGCCCCCTTACAAAAAATCACCCCCCCCTAGCTGTGTAAGGTGTAGAAGCTTAGTTTAGGGGAGGAGCCCCTTGATTTTTTCTCCAGATTCTCGCTGGAGGTCAAGGAATTTCCTGCTTCCATTTAGAACTGCGAACAGTTGCATGCCAAAACATGTTGGGAATATGAATGGGGTTTACAGGCACCCCCGCTGAAATCTGTAGGCCCGTTCAAAAGGGCAAGCTGTCTGTCGGCAAAGCGCCTTTTATCTTTGCAACAGCTGCACAGCGGCCGTTCTATCACTTTGCGCTTTGCCCTTAATAACAACTTGAAGCGAGCTCATTCGCGACAAGCGACGCCGCCTGCTGCGGTATGGCAAAGTGGCTTCTTTCTTCAGGCCTCTTTCAACTATTCCCATGTTTTCCGCAAAAAAAAAGAAAAGCCTGGATTGGAAGTAATACACTCAAAACAGATCACAAGGAGTGAGAAGACTACTTTCCTTTCGGGGAACCTCCCTGTCGACTTCCTTTGCCCATGAACTCAGTGTGCGGAATATGGGAAATCAGAAGGCATCATTGTCCCCCAACAACTGCTCAAGCTTTTTCAGGGATCCTTACATTATACATTGCCTTGTAAGTGGTGGTTTCAACCCTTATTTTGGTGTTGAAACAGCCACATGTTTCAAATGGTTGCAAAATGGATATCTTTTAAGGAGCCCTGTTCAAATGCATGCGCAATCGTAGTGATGCGTGCTGTAATGTTGCACCCTCTTCAATGTGACCCCACCTCCCCCGGACAGTGGAGCGTAGGTCTGTTTTTCTTAATTGAAATCCGTAGACACAGACCTAGGAGCGTGGGGAGCCCCCAACCGATCCCTGATCCTCCCTCGGCGCGCGGCCTGCTCTTGTCCCACGCAGATGCGCACCGGCCTGGCATGGCGAGTGAAGTCTCAACGGTTGCTACCTCGGCTTCTCGGCAAAAACGACTTGCAGGCGGAAACATGAATTAATTGGCACCAACAAGTTTTAAGCAATTCTCCACGGCATCTCGGCAAGAATGACTTGCAGGTGGACAAATGAAACAGTTGGCCCCAGCAAGTTAAAAACATGAACACAGGCGCCAACACTGTTTGATGGTGGTGTGATCTGAGAGGGCAACCCCCAAATGGAAACACAAACAACCCACTGCCAAAAATCATAGGTTTGGTCCTGCTCCAGAGTTGTTGCACCCCGCGGAAAACACAGTCCACTCTGATGGAATGATAGCCAGCCGAGCACACTAATCCACTCACGCCTTTACAACCTAGTAAGTGCCCCAGGATTTCCCCCTACAAACCACTTCACGGAAGGGGGACGCTTGGTACCACAGGACTGGGGCACACACACACAAGAACCTGCATACTTGAAGATTCTGGCCCATATTTAGTCCTCCAGAGCGAGAAGCGATTGATGGGCGTCCTACATTGGGCCTTGACATGGCGTGCTGGATACTCCATTGAAACTCTACATTGATAATTTGAAACTCTGAACTACATTGATACCTTGGGGTCGGTGTGCATCGCCGTAAGCATGTGTACACTAGCACACGGCTAGATAATAGAAACCATATTTCCTGCAAATACCGAACAAAAGCCTAACCAAAACCCTACCCTTGAGTTGTGATCATCTGAAAGCAACCATGTAGCTGCAGATAGTTTATCATCATCCCCTACAAACATCTGGGGTACGCAGAAAACATTCTTTTCGGCCTCTGTTCCACATTTTAAGCCCACCCTACAACACACAAAAAACAACATATGTTGAGAGGAGGCCTCCAGGCCAGGGGCACTCCCAAAACTGAAGAGATGCACAGCGCGCATCGGAACACTGGAGCGTTGGCCTCAAGTGGCCATGGGAAAGCCAGGGCACTTATGTTTGGTTGTCGAGTTTTCCGGAAACCCCTCCACAAAAGGAAGCGAGGGCACCGCTGGGCCTCGTCGATGCCCTATTATGGCAAGTAAATCAGCCACATTTGGGGCAAACCAGGTTTGCTTCGTTCCCCTACTTGCAATATTTCGGGTTGTTTGGAGTACAAAGCGCATCTCACTTGGCCAAAGGAACTGCAAATACAAAGGCGGACCTTTCGAGACCTCAAGGATACATGTCAGAATTCCAAGCCATGCAAAAGGTTAAGAAGGTAGTCTAGTTTGCTTGGGAGGACCAGGGGTTTAAAGAATGGCTTTGCACAACTGAAACATCCCAGCGGCTTGAGCATTGCACTGGGTCTCCTGTGAACCCTAAAAGCCAACTCCTGCCGTTTCCAACCGAAGGCGTCGAGGTGACGCCTGGAGCTTGGATGGCATAACCCCCCAGCCAGCTTCTGAACTTCCGCTGACCTGGGCTGTGCAAGTCTGCCGGCGAACCATGAGCCCGCAGAAGTAAGACTACCAGAAGGCAAGAACAAAATAACAAAGCCTGCGTAGACCACTTGCAGGAGTTTTGGTGGACTTAACGCGCCGTCTTTCAGAGTCTGGGTGAATTTCCTCACTGTGCTGGGCAAGGCGGCCAAACAAAGTCCACAACTCTGAGCGGCAGCGCCCTGCAGAGCACCTTGCAGCAGCACCCTCAACAGCACCCTGCAGCCGCAACTTGCAACAGCATTCTGCACCAGCAGCCTGCAGCAGCCCTCTGCGCAGCTCTGGGTCTCGGCCTGCAGCGGCAGGCCGCAACAGCACTCTGCAGAAGCACCCTACAAGCCTTCTGCGCAGCAGCCTGCAACAGCACCCCGCGCAACTTTGAATCTCGGCCTACAGCAGCACCCTGCAACAGCGTGCAACAGCACCTGGCCGGAATTCTGAGTCTCACCCACCCCTTCTTCTTTGCTTGAAGTTAGAACTATAGCCTTCAGCTATCTGCGCACAACAACAAATGAAAGCAAACAAAACATGGTAACAAACCAAACGCTTGCTTGCAACCTTGGTGGTTTTGGGTTCCATGCAAAATGCAAAACGGGCATTTCCTGCCACCACCTGCACGCGACACTATGTTTCATCGATCGAACTTTCAAGAAATTCCCTAGGGGGAAGGGCCTTCATCACATGGCTGGCGTGGTAGGTATATTCCTGGGTTGCCAACTTGCCCGCCCACGGGAAGAACAGCTACTCTGGCACGTTCAACATGATAAACCGCTGCTTGGCTAACTCACTTGCCCAAAGGACATAGAAGGAACACGCTCACGTGTTGGGACTTGAGTAAAGATGGAACTACCTCATTTGTCAGGCTAAGCCGTGTCCAGCCACCCTGTGACCCGCGTGCTCTCTCAAGTTCATCTCCACAATCCGTGAGGATCTATGCCCTCCCCAGACCACTACCCACCACTTGGGGTCATTTCCCCAAGGGACATGCCGTTGATTACAACACCCCTTGGCTGGCCATCTTCATGGATATCAAGGGGCCCTTGACACTGGCAGTGATTTCTGCTTGAGCAAACAAACATTTTTTTCATAAGCTAGCAAAGGGAAACGTTGCACTGCTATTTTCAGGGATTGTGGCGTGATGGAACTCCTATGAAGCGAACATATGGGCAACCATGAGACAATGTCGCTCGCCGGAAAGTGACTTAGCCCCTACACTGTGCCCGAATTACACTTCACATGGTTCTTGCCTGCGGCATCTGTGGCTGGAGCTGGAGCCGCGTGCAAGGGGTCCAACACGTTTCATGAATCTAAGGAATGTAAGCCCGACCCTCAAAGGAGGTTCCTCTCTATATATATAGGTCTGAGAAGACAGTCCTCTTACAAGCCTGCGTTTTTAACGTTGCAGAGAGTTATCTCGAGGAATTGAGGGGAGACAACTTGAAAGTCGGAAGTAATTAGGAGCCCAATCTACTGCATGCTGAGCCTACTAGGGCGTAGCGGCGCCCACTTTGAAAGGGGGGAAGGGCCCTAAAAGTTCAGGGTCGCCCGCACAAATGGGTGGTAACGACGGCCATTTTTCGCACCGGAAAAAATGATCCTGAACTCCAACAAGTGTGTTTCGTGAAGCTCTTGCTGTCATATTCTTAAAGGAGGTTTGCCATAATACTTCAACTGACGACTTCAAGCAATGAGTGTCTCCTATGAAGCGAACATATGGGCAACCATGAGACAATGTCGCTCGCCGGAAAGTGACTTAGCCCCCACACTGTGCCCGAATTACACTTCACATGGTTCTTGCCTGCGGCATCTGCGGCTGGAGCTGGAGCCGCGTGCAAGGGGTCCAACACGTTTCATGAATCTAAGGAATGTAAGCCCGACCCTCAAAGGAGGTTCCTCTCTATATATATATATATATATAGGTCTGAGAAGACAGTCCTCTTACAAGCCTGCGTTTTTAACGTTGCAGAGAGTTATCTCGAGGAATTGAGGGGAGACAACTTGAAAGTCGGAAGTAATTAGGAACCCAAACTACTGCATGCTGAGCCTACTAGGGCGTAGCGGCGCCCACTTTGAAAGGGGGGAAGGGCCCTAAAAGTTCAGGGTCGCCCGCACAAATGGGTGGTAACGACGGCCATTTTTCGCACCGGAAAAAATGATCCTGAACTCCAACAAGTGTGTTTCGTGAAGCTCTTGCTGTCATATTCTTAAAGGAGGTTTGCCATAATACGTCAACTCACGACTTCAAGCAATGCGTGTCTCCTATGAAGCGAACATATGGGCAACCATGAGACAATGTCGCTCGCCGGAAAGTGGCTTAGCCCCTACACTGTGCCCGAATTACACTTCACATGGTTCTTGCCTGCGGCATCTGCGGCTGGAGCTGGAGCCGCGTGCAAGGGGTCCAACACGTTTCATGAATCTAAGGAATGTAAGCCCGACCCTCAAAGGAGGTTCCTCTCTATATATATAGGTCTGAGAAGACAGTCCTCTTACAAGCCTGCGTTTTTAACGTTGCAGAGAGTTATCTCGAGGAATTGAGGGGAGACAACTTGAAAGTCGGAAGTAATTAGGAGCCCAAACTACTGCATGCTGAGCCTACTAGGGCGTAGCGGCGCCCACTTTGAAAGGGGGGAAGGGCCCTAAAAGTTCAGGGTCGCCCGCACAAATGGGTGGTAACGACGGCCATTTTTCGCACCGGAAAAAATGATCCTGAACTCCAACAAGTGTGTTTCGTGAAGCTCTTGCTGTCATATTCTTAAAGGAGGTTTGCCATAATACTTCAACTGACGACTTCAAGCAATGCGTGTCTCCTATGAAGCGAACATATGGGCAACCATGAGACAATGTCGCTCGCCGGAGTGTGACTTAGCCCCTACACTGTGCCCGAATTACACTTCACATGGTTCTTGCCTGCGGCATCTGCGGCTGGAGCTGGAGCCGCGTGCGTTTCATGAATCTAAGGAATGTAAGCCGGACCCTCAAAGGAGGTTCCTCTCTATATTCACTTGTGTTTTCGTTCATTTGGTGCTTGGGAGATTTAATATATAGGTCTGAGAAGACAGTCCTCTTACAAGCCTGCGTTTTTAACGTTGCAGAGAGATATCTCGAGGAATTGAGGGGAGACAACTTGAAAGTCGGAAGTAATTAGGAGCCCAAACTACTGCATGCTGAGCCTACTAGGGCGTAGCGGCGCCCACTTTGAAAGGGGGGAAGGGCCCTAAAAGTTCAGGGTCGCCCGCACAAATGGGTGGTAACGACGGCCATTTTTCGCACCGGAAAAAATGATCCTGAACTCCAACAAGTGTGTTTCGTGAAGCCCTTGCTGTCATATTCTTAAAGGAGGTTTGCCATAATACTTCAACTCACGACTTCAAGCAATGCGTGTCTCCTATGAAGCGAACATATGGGCAACCATGAGACAATGTCGCTCGCCGGAAAGTGACTTAGCCCCTACACTGTGCCCGAATTACACTTCACATGGTTCTTGCCTGCGGCATCTGTGGCTGGAGCTGGAGCCGCGTGCAAGGGGTCCAACACGTTTCCTGCACCGTCTGCATCCAGCTCCACAAGCTGTTCCAAGCATAGGGCAACAAAAAAGCGAGGCAGTTGCCTAATGGCAGCCCCCCCTCTAGTTCAACTTGAATGTGGGCAACCACGCGTAGGGCCAAAGAGGAAGCAAAGAAAACCACCCATGTTGGGGTCAAATCCGTTTTTGACAGACATGCCCAACTGATTTGGCCTTCAAGGTCACCAAGGCCATACCACTAAACTCCACCCCACCCCCCCCGAGTCATAATCCAACCTGGTTTTTAGCGAGTCTATCTTACTAACTGTTTTAGTAGCTTCGAACCTTGCAAGTATCCCACCAGAACCCTGAAACTACCCTTCAATTCGATTTCCGGAGGATAGGGGCTCAAAATTGAAAAGGTGAGACCGCGATCCATTTTGGGCCCGAGCCACTGTCCCGCGCCCTGAGTGCCCGGTCGCGCCTCGTTTCGGGGTTCGTGCGATGGCCTGGAGCTCAAAGGCCACAGACTGCTCCCGGGTGTTGGCATTCATGGGGCGCACCAAACTCCTCAGGCGACAGGCTTGGACCCCCCCCCCCTAAAAAATGATTGCGGTTTGCCTGTTGGTTCTTTTTCAAACCAGCCAAAAGGGGTACACCCTCAAATAAGACACACCCAAACGGGAGTCAGACACCCATTTGGTGAACGTTTGAAAGGGGCAACAAACGAAAATCAACTGGTTCAAAGCAAATTGTTGTTTGGATATTTGGAGATACAGTTATGACTCTTAATAGGGAACCCGTTGGCGGACATCATCTTCTGGTTTTGTGTTAAATGTCATGGCCATATCGGAGTTTGTTTGTGCCAAATTGGGTTAAATAGGAGTCGTTCAATCGAACGGGTTTCCTTCTTGACTTCCCTTTATATAATCTAAGGAATGCAAGCCCGACCCTCAAAGGAGGTTCCTCTCTGTATATATATATATATATAGAGGTCTGAGAAGACAGTCCTCTTACAAGCCTGCGTTTTTAACGTTGCAGAGAGTTATCTCGAGGAATTGAGGAGAGACAACTTGAAAGTCGGAAGTAATTAGGAGCCCAAACTACTGCATGCTGAGCCTACTAGGGCGTAGCGGCGCCCACTTTGAAAGGGGGGAAGGGCCCTAAAAGTTCAGGGTCGCCCGCACAAATGGGTGGTAACGACGGCCATTTTTCGCACCGGAAAAAATGATCCTGAACTCCAACAAGTGTGTTTCGTGAAGCTCTTGCTGTCATATTCTTAAAGGAGGTTTGCCATAATACTTCAACTGACTTCAAGCAATGCGTGTCTCCTATGAAGCGAACATATGGGCAACCATGAGACAATGTCGCTCGCCGGAAAGTGACTTAGCCCCTACACTGTGCCCGAATTACACTTCACATGGTTCTTGCCTGCGGCATCTGTGGCTGGAGCTGGAGCCGCGTGCAAGGGGTCCAACACGTTTCATGAATCTAAGGAATGTAAGCCCGACCCTCAAAGGAGGTTCCTCTCTATATATATAGGTCTGAGAAGACAGTCCTCTTACAAGCCTGCAGTATTAACGTCGCAGAGAGTTATCTCGAGGAATTGAGGGGAGACAACTTGAAAGTCGGAAGTAATTAGGAACCCAAACTACTGCATGCTAAGCCTACTAGGGCGTAGCGGCGCCCACTTTAAAAGGGGGGAAGGGCCCTAAAAGTTCAGGGTCGCCCGCACAAATGGGTGGTAACGACGGCCATTTTTCGCACCGGAAAAAATGATCCTGACCTCCAACAAGCGTGTTTCGTGAAGCTCTTGCTGTCATATTCTTAAAGGAGGTTTGCCATAATACTTCAACTGACTTCAAGCAATGCGTGTCTCCTATGAAGCGAACATATGGGCAACCATGAGACAATGTCGCTCGCCGGAAAGTGACTTAGCCCCTACACTGTGCCCGAATTACACTTCACATGGTTCTTGCCTGCGGCATCTGTGGCTGGAGCTGGAGCCGCGTGCAAGGGCTCCAACACGTTTCATGAATCTAAGGAATGTAAGCGCGACCTTCAAAGGAGGTTTCTCGGTTTCTCTCTATATGCATAGGTCTGAGAAGACAGTCCTCTTACAAGCCTGCGTTTTTAACGTTGCAGAGAGTTATCTCGAGGAATTGAGGGGAGACAACTTGAAAGTCGGAAGTAATTAGGAGCCCAAACTACTGCATGCTGAGCCTACTAGGGCGTAGCGGCGCCCACTTTGAAAGGGGGGAAGGGCCCTAAAAGTTCAGGGTCGCCCGCACAAATGGGTGGTAACGACGGCCATTTTTCGCACCGGAAAAAATGATCCTGAACTCCAACAAGTGTGTTTCGTGAAGCTCTTGCTGTCATATTCTTAAAGGAGGTTTGCCATAATACTTCAACTGACGACTTCAAGCAATGCGTGTCTCCTATGAAGCGAACATATGGGCAACCATGAGACAATGTCGCTCGCCGGAAAGTGACTTAGCCCCTACACTGTGCCCGAATTACACTTCACATGGTTCTTGCCTGCGGCATCTATGGCTGGAGCTGGAGCCGCGTGCAAGGGGTCCAACACGTTTCATGAATCTAAGGAATGTAAGCCCGACCCTCAAAGGAGGTTCCTCTCTATATATATAGGTCTGAGAAGACAGTCCTCTTACAAGCCTGCGTTTTTAACGTTGCAGAGAGTTATCTCGAGGAATTGAGGGGAGACAACTTGAAAGTCGGAAGTAATTAGGGGCCCAAACTACTGCATGCTGAGCCTACTAGGGCGTAGCGGCGCCCACTTTGAAAGGGGGGAAGGGCCCTAAAAGTTCAGGGTCGCCCGCGCAAATGGGTGGTAACGACGGCCATTTTTCGCACCGGAAAAAATGATCCTGAACTCCAACAAGTGTGTTTCGTGAAGCTCTTGCTGTCATATTCTTAAAGGAGGTTTGCCATAATACTTCAACTGACGACTTCAAGCAATGCGTGTCTCCTATGAAGCGAACATATGGGCAACCATGAGACAATGTCGCTCGCCGGAAAGTGACTTAGCCCCTACACTGTGCCCGAATTACACTTCACATGGTTCTTGCCTGCGGCATCTGCGGCTGGAGCTGGAGCCGCGTGCGTTTCATGAATCTAAGGAATGTAAGCCGGACCCTCAAAGGAGGTTCCTCTCTATATTCACTTGTGTTTTCGTTCATTTGGTGCTTGGGAGATTTAATATATAGGTCTGAGAAGACAGTCCTCTTACAAGCCTGCGTTTTTAACGTTGCAGAGAGTTATCTCGAGGAATTGAGGGGAGACAACTTGAAAGTCGGAAGTAATTAGGAGCCCAAACTACTGCATGCTGAGCCTACTACGGCGTAGCGGCGCCCACTTTGAAAGGGGGGAAGGGCCCTAAAAGTTCAGGGTCGCACGCGCAAATGGGTAACGACGGCCATTTTTCGCACCGGAAAAAATGATCCTGAACTCCAACAAGTGTGTTTCGTGAAGCTCTTGCTGTCATATTCTTAAAGGAGGTTTGCCATAATACTTCAACTGACGACTTCAAGCAATGCGTGTCTCCTATGAAGCGAACATATGGGCAACCATGAGACAATGTCGCTCGCCGGAAAGTGACTTAGCCCCTACACTGTGCCCGAATTACACTTCACATGGTTCTTGCCTGCGGCATCTGCGGCTGGAGCTGGAGCCGCGTGCGTTTCATGAATCTAAGGAATGTAAGCCGGACCCTCAAAGGAGGTTCCTCTCTATATATATGTCTGAGAAGACAGTCCTGCGTGTTTAACGTTGCAGAGAGTTATCTCGAGGAATTGAGGGGAGACAACTTGAAAGTCGGAAGTAATTAGGAGCCCAAACTACTGCATGCTGAGCCTACTAGGGCGTAGCGGCGCCCACTTTGAAAGGGGGGAAGGGCCCTAAAAGTTCAGGGTCGCCCGCACAAATGGGTGGTAACCACGGGTGGTAAGATCGTGGCCAGGCTTGCCTGGAAGTGTTGGTTTCCGAGGGTACCATTTTGGGGTCGGTATTCAAATCAAAAAGGGAAACCAAAAAAAAAGCTGCCATTTTGTTTGGCCCCGTGAAAAAAGGCACGCCAACCTGCTGGTAGATCGGGGCGATGTGATGCCACCGTTTTGAAGGTGCTTGTGGCAAGCGTCTGCACGAAGAAATCCAAAGAAAGGGATTGACTTGATCAATTCACGAGACATTTTGTTCAGAGGCACTTAGCCTCCAAGTCCCTTGTTGCTTGGTGCTTGGTGCTTCGGGACCCGAAAATAGAGTCAACCGGAAATTGTGTGGCCTCATGTTGTTGGGCTAGTCAAACCGAGAGTTGCCTTTCTTTTGCAGGGTGTCAGTGGCACCTAAATCCCCAACTCTTGGTCCCTCAAAGCCTCCATTTGCTTACATCTGGAAAAAATCAGAAAATAATTCCAGGAGTGAATTCGATTCTTTTACCAACAGGGAAAAGAAAAACACACACACACACAACAAAAAACCTACTCTTCACCCAAATGGAAGAAAGTGGTGGCGCTTCTGGGCGACGTGTTTCTGCCGTGTCGGTTCGGTTCTGAGCCGCCGAGCCGATGGACTCCAAGGCCCGCGCCAGGTCGCGGAGAAGAAGAGCACTTGACGGTCCGGACGCACCTGCGGTCCGAAGCAAATCGATCGAGGCGAAACGGCCTCGAGACGAAACGGCCTCGAGACGATGTGTTCGAGACGAAACCTATGGAGGATAAATCCTACAGATGACGAAACCTACGAAAAAGGTTCTCCTCTAACCTACGAAACCTATCGAGACGAAACCGTTGGCTTTGGGCTCAAACCCAATGGAGGATAACATCCCTCAGGTGCGGCACGTGATTCCTTGGGAGCCTTTTATGCTTTCTTTAGGGGCCCCCCAAAAAGCATGGTTTCAAGACTATAAATTACTGCCGTGGCCTCTGCCGACCAAAAAAACTCTCATGTTGGGTGTACATTTTAGGGGACTTGTTTCTTTTTCTGTATTTTTTTTAAATGTGTGTGAGGCAAGCACCAGCTTAAATTGGTTTCCCTTTGGGTTTCCAACAGGGAGGGCCGTGATGCAGTTTGAGCAGCCTGGGTTGTACTTCTTGAGCGTGCGACTCACCGCTCCGCTTGCGAGTGACTCTTGCAGAGCTTCTTGAGGCTGGACCTTACAGGATTGTTGTGTTTTAGACCTCTGCAGACATGGTGGAGGTCAGAACCTCACATGATTGTGTTTCTATTACACCTCTGCACACTTTCTTTAGGTCAGCACTAAACGTGGATGTCCAAACAAACAGGTAGGCCCTGACCTCAAACAAGTCTGCCAAAGCCCGAAAAACTCAAAATAACAAACATATCCAGGACACTTCGGGGGCTAGGCTGAAGACCCCTCAGGATTGGTTCTGTTGTTCCTGTTTGGTTCCCCAGACGTCGTTTTGAGGTCACGGCCTCCCAGACCTTGTGAGGCTGACCTCAAAACGACTGGGGGCCCCAGGCAAAACATCAATATGCTTCCAGTAGAGCTTGTATGTTCAGATTAGAAGTTCAGTAAGACGTAATGTCCTAAGACATATTTTAGGTGCAATTTAATTTGGTCTTACATATAGCTTAAAACGGGCATGAATCAACTAGGTATTCTGTGGTAAATGACAATTTCAGTGGAAAGCCCCTTCCAAATATGTGTTGAACTGAGAAATACATTCTGAGAAATGCATTGAATTAAGGTAGGGTTCAACTGAAAAACACTATCTAAAATTCTCATGAGTTGATTGCAACATGTGTTTGGATAACACTTAAATAGGTTTACAACCCAAGTGGAATTCACATAGAACTCAATAAGAAAGTAATCCAGCAAAACAAGAATCTATGTCAAATTATCAATTCAAAGCAGAATTCGAGACTTTACATGGGAATTCCTCTCCGAATAGCCTTTTCAATTAGCATGCAACTAGGATCTAGATGAAATGTCATAAACAAAGGTTTGAAGTCGAGTTTGCACTTTGAGCTAGAATCTAAATGGGACGTCCTTTCCAATCGACTTCTACAGTCATTGCATTTCAGTTGGAGTTTTGAGATACTTTGAGACGCACATGTCTTAATCAGGATTTCTATGAACACATAGATGTGAGATGGAACGTTTTTTCACATTGAACACAAGTAGAATGTTGTGGGGACACAACTTAACCAAATAACCCATGTCAAACTAGAATCCAAATAGGTTTTCTTTGCACTAGGATGTTGATTGAACGCTGGCTAGAATGTAAGACAAATTGGTGTGGACAACCAGAAATAAGCCTGAGTTCCTTTCCACATGGAAACTTAGATAAACATAGATCATAACTTAAAACAGTTTCAACGAGGAACAACAAATGCACTCCCAAATCAGAATGGACAAAAAAACTACTACACATAATTTGAGAAAAACTGGGTTATATGTAAACTAGAATCGAACAAGGACAACAGTTACCAATCTTCTATAAACCTGCAAGTTAAACATGAATTCCCTTCTCAATAAAGCGTTTATTTAATTGGATTTACTTGGATTTTGCTTAGAATTCTATAAGGAAGAGCTTGTCCAAATCTACTTAAGCAATTCTACTGCAAACTCAGACGTTAAATAGAATTCCTTGCCACGTAGGACTTTGCAATTCAGTTAGACTTTAAGCATCATTCAATAGGGCACGTTTGATTAACAAGAGTGTCACATGCGCTAGCTGAGACACCCTGTGAGCAGAAAACTAGATCAATCATGTAAGTATGGTTAGGCTGATTCGCACATGGAATGGCATAGCAATTGCTAGCCCGCAACACAGCCCGTGCAACTATAAGGGCAAATTGCAAATGAAAACCCCACACCACATCAAATCCGCAATACAGTACTCAAGACACCGAGGACATACTACGCGCAAATTCAACCTCATGGCGCCCACTCACATGGTTGCCCTCTAAGGGAAAATGATGGAACATCATGCAACCTATGAAAACCCAAGGATCCGTAAAACTTCAAATCTTCAGGCTGTTGGTGGCTGGATAACGATGGATTCCACTGGCAAATGGTACACTGAAACTAGTGAATCTATTTATGTTCACCCAAAAGAACACCCACGTGTTGTGCACTGTGCCGCGCAGGCCCATCACGTAGCAGGGCCTCCTGTCAACTTTCAGGGGCCCTGGCTACACTAAAGTGCCTCGCCGATGACATGACGCTGTGCGCCACCGAGAGGGAAGTTGTTTCAACAGCTTCCTTTGGCTCTCAACGAGTGCCAGGGCCTGGTTTGAACCAATTTCGCCCAACGCGTCTCAAAAGACAACCGCTTTCAGGTCCCTTACACTTCCCGTTGGGCACATTACCATGGGGCCAGGTAGTACCCACGGGTCGCGCCTGATTCGAGATCTTCGCCACCTGAGCGAAGAGTTCCGTGGCACCGCCCAGCGCTTGAAAAACCAAGGAGAAAACCCAAGGGAGCAAGACATCTGCCCTAACCTGGGCTGCCTCAGCGTTTTCGGATCCCCCGCTAAAAGTTTAACTAACTTTTAGTGGGCTCTAAATGGAAACGACCGCAAAACACTACAAAGCTCAAAGGCGAAGGATCCGGATGGCTGGCTTCGCCACCCAGAAACCAAGGGGAAAACATCCTGGACAAATGGACCTTTGCCCGGGTCCGGGGAACTGTCCCGTCGCAAGCGCCGAGTTGCAGAATCGAAGCCTGGTGGTGAAACGGGCATGACAAAATCAAGCCCAATATTTGGCCTTGCCGCAAAGCACCACACCATTGTTACCTGTTCAAAGCGGGAAGGGACATTCCACTGGTGAGCTTGAGTTGGAACCGTTCTTAAACACAGTAATCATATTAATTCAACCTTCTATTTGTTTTGTCTTGCAAAGGGTCCCGAAACTCTGCTCGATTGATGAACTAAATTTCAATCCTGCCATATAACCCCCATTGCGCAACAGGGGGTGTTGGAAACAAAACAGGGACACTGCAACACTCAGACAAGATTGGTGAGCAAGACGTTCAACGGATTCTTGGCTGGGAAGCATGCCAGCACGAGTATCATATCCTAAATACGTTCCAACTATAGACACTTTCTTGCTTCCCACATTGCTTCGGCTATTGTTCCTCAGATGAGGCGGGGGTTGCCTAACATAGGACCCCTTGGGACGTCAGCTGGCACGGAGTGGTTCGGAGCAAATGTCAGTGATTTTCCACAGTTTGAAGGAAATTTGACGTGGACGATAGCGGAAGTCCGTCCCATTATAGTCGAGGATTGAAGGCATTGCCAGTATTGGGGAGTAGAATGGTTTCCTCGAACTCTCGATGGGTGGCAACCAAACTTCCGATAAGCAACTAAATATTCGCGGCACCCCCCGCGCAACACGTTAAACCCTGTTTGGTTGGCGAAACATTTGCACGTTTTCCCTACCAGCTCCAGGCGTTTTCCCTACCAGCTCCAGGTTAAAACTTCATCCAATCTCGGTCGCTGTTGACCCCTCTGCAAAACATGTTCAACAGTTTCAACCAAAACGTTAAAGCCCAAAGATCCATCCAACTAGCAGCCAAGAAACTATCCTCAGATCCACTGCTACACATGGTAACTCCCACCAAACCCTTAAAAACTGCAAATCTAAGGGGATGGCTGGAACCACCAAGGACATGGTTGCTTGCACTGACGCAAACCTCGCGGGATCTCGACAAACCTGAGCCAAGCGCATCGTCTGCAAAGCCCTGCTCCAGCATTCGATCCGCCTGGCGAATACCCCCCCCTCCTCCAGAAAAAAAAAAACAACAACCCAAAAAAACAAAACAAACAAAGAAACAGCCTCAAAGGAAGCTACCTCTGTAAACCTGCCTTGACCCATGAATACTGTATTTTTGCTCGCAAAACCCGAGGTAAGATCCTGAAGTACGGTGCCTTCGTCATGGAGTGGGCTTAAACAACGGTGAACTTGCCACACAACATGCATTAGTCAACCTGGTGGATAAATGGGAGATGTCCCCCCCCCACATCCCCGAAAAGAAGTGAAGGCAGCCTATTCATCAGGATTTTGGTAGTGTTAGGTTCCCACCAAGATACAAGCAAAGACAATTTCCCCCTCCCGAGGCGATTCACCTCGCCCAAACGAGGGTGCTGTGGGTTCCACGTAGGTCTTAGAAGCAATGGGATCCCCGGATGAAAAGCCCCTGACGCAAAGTGTTTTGGTTCATGTAAAGTGTCCAAATTGTGTCCGGATTTGTCTACAAATCAATCCAGAGCTTAAACAAATATGGGCTCCGACTGGAAGGCCGAGCTGCCCAAAATGGAGTGGTTCCACTGAGTCACTTTGGCCTTGGCCATGAGGGCGAGGGGGGTCCATGCAAAGCGACCCACGGCTCACTCGCCAAAAGGACCTGGAAGGTTTAGCCTTCCAAAACCTTGACTGAGAACTGGATCAAAAAAGAAAGCCTGAAGCTTAGACATGGTCGGATCTGAACAACCGAGAAGAAACGCGTCCAACCGTTGAAGAAGAATTCAGTCGGTCTTGTTGGGATCTTTCTGTATGGCACATCACGCGGGCTGGAGCTTCTCTTGCGCAGCTCTGTGGCAAGATCTGGGTCTGGTTCGAAATTAAGCCACCAGCAAACCACAGGGTTTAGTCATTGCTTCCATTTGCCAGGGTTACATGGTCCTCCAGTAAAGAGGGTAGAATAAGGGTACCTTTTTTTTCTTTCTGTGGTCTATTTTTAGTAGGGGAACCCTCCCCCTAAAAAGGTGTTAACAAGAGCACTTGGCGCCTTGCCTCGTCCAGGACGAGGTACGTGACCCGCTCCAATGAAACGGACCGCTGGGTGAGGAAGTCGATCAACCTGCTGAGCCATGGGAAACCAACCGGTCAGCTGAAGGTCCTCCAGTAGAGAGGGTTAAAATATGGGTACCTTTTTCCTGTTGTCTGTTTTTTTGGTAGGGGAACCCTCCCCCAAAAAGGGGTAAAAGACCTAGTGGCTGTAAGTGCCATGGCCATGAAATGCTTCCATGGAAGCTGGCCATGATCTGTGGAAATAAATAAGCGGCCCATAAGCCTTGCCTCAACAGCTCGCTTTTCATGCCCGATGACCATCCATATCCAAGCCTTTCAAACTTTCGGTCATGGCCATTTGGGGCAGCATACGTAAGCAATCACACACAAAACAAACAGCAACCACGACGACAACGACAGCGACGACCTGCGACGACGACGACGACGACGACGACCATGACCACGACCGCAACATCCCGAACACACACGTACAGAGCACAATGCAAAAACCAACACACACACACACACCAACGAAGGGCTAACGACAGCAAACCCAACACACACACACACAGACACACACAGACACACACAGACACACACAGACACACACAGACACACACAGACACACACAGACACACACAGACACACACAGACACACACAGACACACACAGACACACACAGACACACACAGACACACACAGACACACACAGACACACACAGACACACACAGACACACACAGACACACACAGACACACACAGACACACACAGACACACACAGACACACACAGACACACACAGACACACACAGACACACACAGACACACACAGACACACACAGACACACACAGACACACACAGACACACACAGACACACACAGACACACACAGACACACACAGACACACACAGACACACACAGACACACACAGACACACACAGACACACACAGACAGACACACAGACAGACACACAGACACACACAGCACACACGCAGACACACGCAGACACACGCAGACACACGACACACACACACGACACACACAGACACACACAGACACACACAGACACACACAGACACACACAGACACACACAGACACACACAGACACACACAGACACACACAGACACACACAGACACACACAGACACACACAGACACACACAGACCACACACACAGAGACACAGAGACACAGAGACACAGAGACACAGAGACACAGAGACACAGAGACACAGAGACACAGACACACAGACACACACAGACACACACAGACACACACAGACACACACAGACACACACAGACACACACAGACACACACAGACACACACAGACGCACACAGACACACACAGACACACACAGACACACACAGACACACACAGACACACACAGACACACACAGACACACACAGGCACACACAGGCACACACAGGCACACACAGGCACACACAGACACACACAGACACACACAGACACACACAGACACACACAGACACACACAGACACACACAGACACACACAGACACACACACAGACACACACACAGACACACACACAGACACACACACAGACACACACACAGACACACACGCAGACACACACACAGACACACACACAGACACACACACAGACACACACACAGACACACACACACACACACAGACACACACAGACACACACAGACACACACAGACACACACAGACACACACAGACACACACAGACACACACAGACACACACAGACACACACAGACACACACAGACACACACAGACACTCACAGACACACACAGACACACACAGACACACACAGACACACACAGACACACACAGACACACACAGACACACACAGACACACACACACACACACACACACACACACACACACACACACACACACACACACACACACACACACACACACACACACACACACACACACACACACACACACACACACACACACACACACCCACACAACCACACACACACACACACACACACACACACACACACACACACCACACACACACACACCCCACACACCACACACACACACCCACACACCCACACACCAGCGCACGCGCACGCGCACGCGCACGCGCACGCGCACACGCACACGCACACGCACACGCACACGCACACGCACACGCACACGCACACGCACACGCACACGCACACGCACACGCACACAACACACAGGGCCACAAACCACACACACAATCATCAAAAAAACAACACAACCACAAATACACCACTGGATAACACAAGGCCGCAAGCAACACCAGCAACAAGCCAACGGGCTTGTGTCAGAAGAAGCGGACCTCCAACAATGGAGTGGTCCCCTTTGGTTTGCCTTCCAAGCCAAGCTCACTTCCGGAGCGCGTGTCACTCAAAGGGTCCAACCCCAAAGCGTCGAAGGTCCAGAAACTCCGCCTTTTAAACCAACCCAAAGGGAGGGCCTACCCTCTGCGAACTCTTTCCCCCCAACCCCCGCGGGATGTTTTTCGTTCGTTAGTTTTTTTCTCCTTCAGAGAGCGAGCGCCTGCCGGGGGTGGCGGCCACGATCTCGGAGCCGTATTGCAAGTCCTTGAGCTGTTGGAACTTCTTGCCGCCGCCTCGATTCGTCGATGCCAGGAGAGCTGACCGTTGGCCAATTTTGTTTGGCTTGGGAGGGTTGGTCGGACAATTTGCAGTTTGGAGTGGGTGGGGGGTTTGGGGGGGGGGGGGGTTTGGAGTGGGGAGTTGGCGGGTTTGGGGATTTGGGGGTTTGACACCCCATTTGATGGTTCCATTTTCTTTTCGTTTCCTTTTGAAACCAACCAACATCAGGTAAACCCTCGTTGGTGTTTTGGAGTGGGGGTTTGAGGGGTTGAACCGCTGGTTCTTGTAGACGGTAAATGGGAAACTACCCCAACCTCCAAACCAAGCCAAAATTACCAACTAGAGGGAGGCTGACTGTTGGGGCTGGTACTTTTTCAAGGGACACCCCAATGAAAGTTGAGTCAGGAGTGGGGGTGGGGGCGCCACCCAAGAGCAGACAACCAACACATGAGCTGAATGGGTCTGCTTTGCAAGCGATGGGAAACCGTTGACTAGAGCCCGTTCAACGGGCCTCCTAAGCTGCGTTGACCGTCCAACCAACACTTGCTTCTTGATGGTTTCTTCAAGCCAAAAAACAAATGCAAATCGTGTAGGAAACTGTTTTTGTAAGGTTAACCACGTGATCGGACCGTGTTTTGACTTCTGACTCACTTTTGCGTGAGCAAAACAAGAGGCTGGCCGAAGCCACGACTGCAGTTGACCATCCGGCACAAGCGACCAATGCAGGGTTCCAAGTGTTGACTTCCCCCGGCTATACTTAAACCCAGAGATGGTTGATGTCCCCAAAAGACAAAACTCCTGGGTTTTAAGCCTTCCTTTGGGTTATCACAAAACCCATTCCTGGCCAATCTGTTTGGCCCAAAATGAAGAAACCCGGCAAGAACAAGTTTACATGTTGAGAAATGAGCAGCAGAGCTAACATGCAATCCACCAGAACTTCCTTCAAACATGAAACATGTCGTTGGGCCTCCCATCAGACTTCATGTTCTTTGGCAGGGCTGGGGGGGGGTCGGGTACCTTCAGAGTTGGAAGACATCAAGTTGCATTTTTACTAGTCTCTTTGGATTAGAAAAACGAGGACGCTCCACCTAGCCGGAAAGCGCGTTTTGAGCACGGAGCACCACGGAAACACCACACGCCGGACTCCAAGCGCCTTGGGTGGGGGAAGTCAGCAAAGCGGGGGCAGAAACGCGGGGCAGCCAGGCGGCATTCAGATATACTTTGCGGATTCCAGTTCAAGCTCACTTAGACTTGTTTTGGAATCCCTTGCGACTCTTAGAGGAACCAAAGAGCCATTTCCAAGCAAACTTCTACATTTGTTTCGCCGTTTCGGTGGTCTGAGTTGGGCCGGACAGCGGAAACACTGCATCCACGACAACAAGTCACAGGACGGACATGCCAAATGCACATGAACACGGAGACCCAACGTTAGGCTCTATAACGCATGAACCTTACCGGCCAGCGTTGTGGTTTCTTTTTGCTCGTGCGGAAGAACGTGATGCTTCAAATGGGCAAAAGATCGTGAGAAGAACCCGTGTTTTTGTGCTCCCTCCGCATCAGGGGAGTAGACTGGGGGGAATGCCAAACGCATCCCCTACTGACCTGCCAGGTGTGCTGATCCGGCAGGGATGCCTGCGGTCAAGTGAAGAGAAGGCACTCACACGTAGGGAATGAAAGAGCGCATGAAATGCCGCCGGAGCGGAAAGACCCGTCTCCCTTATGAAGTGGAGGGAAGCACCAAGGAAGCCAAGTAACGAACAAGGGCTGCACTCCTCCCGGTTGACATGGAACCGAACCTGCACATCCGCCATTTTTAGAGGAATCAACCCACAAATCCACCATTTTTAGAGGAACCGCTTGTTTGAAGGACCCTTGATGATCCAATGTTCAGTTTGCAAGGGAGCAAAGCTCCAAGTCCTAGTCCAGTGACCCCTCATGACCCTGGAGCTGCTAGGTCTTCCATTGCTCCTCGCTAGGCGAAACTTTCTTCAAGTGCCGAGGGCGCGGCCGTAGACAGAGGCCTCAGGCCGCAAGTTCCAAGGTAGCTGGCCATTGGGAAAAACCGAACACATGATAGGTACCACGAACAGGGAAAAGTGACCCATGCTCGAAGCTGGGGGGCCGAAGGGAATATTGAACCTTACACCTGGCCTGCACCAGACCACCCCGGAACCTCCGGAACCTTCCTTGATCATCCTCGAAGGGAACCCCTTTCAAGGAGAAAACCACACGCGGCTTTCGGCTAACAGGACCGGCGGCTTTCCAGTCTCAGCCAAAGCGCCAAAGTTTGGAAGAATGGCGCATTTGCTGGGCGGGAAACCACTGAAAGGCAGCGAAGCTATTCTTCATTGGTGGTTTGGATGGTAGATTTGCGAGTTGAAGCACCACCTCTTGAAACCTTGGAAGCTAGCCCGCCACAAACAATGGGCTTAGACACTCGCAAGAGTATCTTGCCCTGTTGGAAGGCCTCGGTTCTGCAAGCTCTGTTAGGGAATTGCGAGGGTGATGTCGGACAGGTCGGAAGCAAAGCAAAGCTCGACCGCACCAAACTCAAGCCGATTTCGACCAGCAAAACGCCGAGCGTGAGCAGCGGAAACTGAAATAGCTCGAAAGTTCACTAACGTGGCCCTTGAGACCTGGAATCCTGCAAGATCAGTTTCCACTTGGAGGGACCGGGTCCCTGTCAGGTGCCATGTTAGTGAGAGAGAAATCTGAAAAGGTTGAGATTCATGGCTCATGTCTGGGCTGCCCTCAGATCCCCCACTAAAAGTTTCACACCACTAAACCCCACTAAAAGCTACAAAAGGCGAAGGGTCCGGATGGGAGCCACCCAGAACAGGGAAAAGTGACCCAACACCTAACCTGCACCAGACCACCCCGGAACCTCCGGAACCTTCCTTGATCATCCCCGAAGGGAACCCCTTTCAAGGAGAAAATCACACGCGGCTTTCGGCTAACAGGACCGGCGGCTTTCCAGTCTCAGCCAAAGCGCCAAAGTTTGGAAGAATGGCGCATTTGCTGGGCGGGAAACCACTGAAGGCAGCGAAGCTATTCTTCATTGGTGGTTTGGATGGTAGATTGGCGAGTTGAAGCACCAGCCCCTCTTGAAACCTTGGAAGCTAGCCCGCCACAAACAATGGGCTTAGACACTCGCAAGAGTATCTTGCCCTGTTGGAAGGCCTCGGTTCTGCAAGCTCTGTTAGGGAATTGCGAGGGTGATGTCGGACAGGTCGGAAGCAAAGCAAAGCTCGACCGCACCAAACTCAAGCCGATTTCGACCAGCAAAACGCCGAGCGTGAGCAGCGGAAACTGAAATAGCTCGAAAGTTCACTAACGTGGCCCTTGAGACCTGGAATCCTGCAAGATCAGTTTCCACTTGGAGGGACCGGGTCCCTGTCAGGTGCCATGTTAGTGAAAGAGAAATCTGAAAAGGTTGAGATTCATGGCTCATGTCTGGGCTGCCCTCAGATCCCCCACTAAAAGCCCCACACCACTAAACCCCACTAAAAGCTACAAAAGGCGAAGGGTCCGGGTGGGAGCCACCCAGAACAGGGAAACCTCCGGAACCTTCCTTGATCATCCGCGAAGGGAACCCCTTTCAAGGAGAAAACCACACGCGGCTTTCGGCTAACAGGACCGGCGGCTTTCCAGTCTCAGCCAAAGCGCCAAAGTTTGGAAGAATGGCGCATTTGCTGGGCGGGAAACCACTGAAAGGCAGCGAAGCTATTCTTCATTGGTGGTTTTGATGGTAGATTGGCGAGTTGAAGCACCAGCCCCTCTTGAAACCTTGGAAGCTAGCCCGCCACAAACAATGGGCTAGACACTCGCAAGAGTATCTTGCCCTGTTGGAAGGCCTCGGTTCTGCAAGCTCTGTTAGGGAATTGCGAGGGTGATGTCGGACAGGTCGGAAGCAAAGCAAAGCTCGACCGCACCAAACTCAAGTCGATTTCAACCAGCAAAACGCCGAGCGTGAGCAGCGGAAACTGAAATAGCTCGAAAGTTCACTAACGTGGCCCTTGAGACCTGGAATCCTGCAAGATCAGTTTCCACTTGGAGGGACCGGGTCCCTGTCAGGTGCCATGTTAGTGAGAGAGAAATCTGAAAAGGTTGAGATTCATGGCTCATGTCTGGGCTGCCCTCAGATCCCCCACTAAAAGTTTCACATCTTTAGTTGGTTAAATGGAAATCCAACCACTAAACCCCACTAAAAAGCTACAAAAGGCGGCTGACCCGGGCCCAAACACCGACCGGCTCAGGCCGCGGCCGCCCAAACTCCGTGCTGGTGGTGCCCAGCCCTGGAGCCCCGAAGCACCTGCGGAGTCCAAGAAGAGGTCCTCCAGCAGAGTAATGTTGACCCACGATTAATAAACCCGTCCCACTATTAGGGGTGTTCCCTCCAAAAGTGATGAATCCCCACTTGAAAGGGGACACCCCCCAATAAAAATCAACCAGGGGTTTATTAATCCGGGGTTAACATTAGAGAGGTCTGATCGAAGAGTTTGATTCAATAATTCAAAGGTGCCCTTCGGAAGGCCGTATTGCCAAGCTCATTTGTGCGTATTTTGCGCAGTTGGTGTCAGAGGTCAGAATAAGGGCACCCACTTTTTTTGTTCTCTCTTTCTTTTTCCGGTGGTCTATTTCAATAAAAGAACCCTCCCCCAAAAAAGGGGTTAAAAAGGGCACTACTGGGGGACCTAGAAGAGGAGGAAAGCCATCCCCAAAGCGTTGCCTGTGGAGTGGAGGACTTGCTGGGGCTCAGTCGGAATGAGAAAAGGAATGAACCCGGGGGGCCCCCAAAAAACGGGAAACCACCAGTTGGATGGTTTATAGGGGTCATATTCTGATTCCCTACTGAGCACCAGCCAAACTAAAACCCACCCTCCCATTGCTTCGATGTACTAGTTGCCCTGATTGACCTGGAGCCTGACAGCACGACGCTTGGAAACCTGGTTTGGACCATTTACCTTTGAAAGGGACCGGGTTCCGAACGTCAGGTTCCATGTTAACCGGTGGGAGGTTGACTGGTATATCCAACCCCTGGAAAAGCAGCCAGCACCAAAGGGTACAGCTAGGTACACCACAATTGGGACTCCATAGCGGACATGGAACCCAAAAAGGTGGTCCCCCAGAAGACTCCGCAAAAGGAGCGCCTGCGTTCATCTTGGCTTGCTAGGGGACTAGTCTTTAAACCATACTCTTAAACTGCAAGAGAAATATTAACGCAGCTGCTTGTCAAAACATGAGTGCCAAAGCCTTCACACTTGGCTTGGCCCATTTGAGTATATGATTGTACCCACCAACTAGCCGTCACATTCTTGACAAGTCGGTCCCTTGTTTTCAGGCTACAAGGGTGAATGTGCCCACTAAAAGCCATCAAGTTCAAAAGCTAAGTAGCCAAGCAAAATAATAAATGTGAGCTCGCCATAGAATAGGCAGACAACCGCCATAT